TATTTAATAATAAGATTATAAAAAGGATATAAATAGTAAGGAATAATCTAGCTTAGGTATATATAGTAATAGACCTATAAAAGGTATTTAATACTAGGATTTTATATCTATAGGTTTAAAAATAAGTTGATTAATAAGAGATAACTCGGAAAAAGTTAGATAATTTAGTAATATTTAATAAAAAAGCTTATTTATTAAAGACTTATTTATAATTAGGACTAGGTTTTTATTTAAATAAAGCTTCTATACTAAATAAGTTATAAAGGTTTTAAATATAAAGCATCTAGTACTTTATTATAGATCTAAGACACTTACTTAACTTCGAGCCATGTCGATAGCGGGGAAAAGGCGGTGTAGTCTCAGCCCCTGAAACCACCATCTCATGACAATCTCTTACTGGTTGTCGCGAGTGAGACATTGTGCTTTGAGACAGTTCATCTATGGGAGAGCGGACGGGATCCCGAGTTCTCTGATAGGTACGGTCGTGCTTTGAGACAGAAGAGAAGAGATGGCCTCAATTAGCACCGATCCGATGCATGTCTTGCTTTTGACTGAGGGGTCAAAAGCTGACATGCATACGGCACGGCACGGCACGGAGAATCGCCTTGATCCCCGATCCGATCCTTCCCGAGTTATTCATTCATTTAGTAGGCCAGTTTAATATCTCCGCGAGACAAGTCTCAGCCACTCGGAAAGGAGCACTTTGGCTAGCGTATTTCCCTCTATTCTCAAGTTAGCGAAAGACTTTACGGCCATTCAACACATAGTAGCCTCGGTGTCTTAGGCTATAAAGACAGATAGATAGATAGGTACTTAGACAAACAGGATATCAAACAAGACACAATTATGCTAATTTACAGCATTATACTACATATTGGGATATGCTGAAGCAAAGAGTCAATTGTAGATGTTGGGCTAATATCGACCAAGTTGCCTCATATTGTGCAGTTGAAACATGGCTGTGAGCCTATGCATTCCATCCTTGCTCGCGAGTGATATAGCAACAGGTATTTTACAGCTCTGTGCCGTCTTCAAGTTACACAAAGACATGATGTGGAGCCTCTCATACTACCCATAACGCAAAACCGCCTCAACACATCACTAGAAGCAAGGAAATGGTATGCCTTACTCAAGCGGTCTGGAACTGAAAGTGGTGATGATTTGCAATGTGGCTGGAATAGAGGCAGCTGAGGTTTTTTCAGGTATGTGGGATATGAGACTGCATTACGAGAAGGTATATGCAGAGAGTTGAAAGAGGCAACTGTGCATACCAAGACCGATTGATTACCTGGACGGCAACTGATGCCTGAGGAGTCCGGATCAGAGCAGATCGGGCAATCTTAGAAATATAAATACCAAGGTTGCTTCCCCCAATGTCTGTGTCTTTATCCATCATCAAACAACTCTTGCAACACATCTACCAATCTTTCCCTCTACAGCAAATCTCATCATGTCTGACATTGCTGTGCCCGCAAACACTATTGAGAATGAAGAGTATGAGAATGGTGTAAACGGCAATGAAACTGTCTATGTAAGTCTCGACCCTCTTTGTCTATGCTTGATTGAGTTGAAGTTCTCAATTGCTAATTTATAGTGGCAATAGATCAAATGGGATGTGAAGGGCGGTAGGGACCGTACCCACGACACTCCCCTCAACACGTGCACCCAGTTGGAGGGATCCCCGTAAGTACAGCCACAAACCCTAACCTTTACTGCCGCTAATGAAAACCAGTAACATTCAGGGAATTGAGATTAAGAGTGCGGTTGCTGTCTATGTCCACTGCTATGGGTAAGTGAAATTCTCCTGGAAAATTACACCAATGCTGAGTATATAACAATATAGTAACTCAAACTGCTCTGGTTCTGCCGATACTTTTGAAGGACCTACCAACGGCAAGCAGAAGATCAATGCCAAGCGTTATGCGTCGTACAAGCTTGTCCCTCGTTAAGCTCAGGCTCTTATAGCCAATCTAGGTTCTCTCTGCCGGAATAAGCTCACAGCCATAAATCTCAACTGCAAATAACACTTCTAGCCCACAACTTAGACATCGATACCACGATGACTTACCAATGGCTACAGCATAGAGCTGATACTTATGGACAATCTGGCTTGGGACAGTACTATAAAAGAAACCAAGTGTAATTTAGAAAGATAATAAGGAGACTTGTTAGCTTAATAAATATACTAGGTATTAGAGTTGGGTTTTGTCTATTATAAGTGAGATTGGGTCTTTACTATTTTCCTTTCCTGCCAGGGCGGAATGACTGCTTACTTATGTGGAAACCGGAAGAGTATGTTAACCTAAATGATTAAAGAGTGAGCATTGGATCTTGGAGTAGGTCAATCTGCAGTGATCGACTTGCACGCAGAGTTCGAAGCAGCTATAGAGTTTCCACTATAGATGGGTTAATTAGTAACGGCAATGCGTTGGGAGTGTTGGATGACTGACTGGCTGGAGTTGAAGCGATGAATGAATTGAAGATAGAGGATCGTTGGCTCTCGACGACGTTTACCTACCCAGCACTCACTGAGATCTGGAAGTTGGCAGTTATTGCCTCCGCACTGGAACACTATTATGGGCCTTGACTAGCACCGATTGGCTGTTGATTGATGTGCCACATCTGCAAGGTGTAAGCTCGGGCTACTGAGAACTACACTTAATACTCCATACAGAGAGCCCATTGGTTGAGGCTGATCCCAGGGCATGAATGAACTTAACCAATACCTGACCCTCTGATATTCAGAATCGTCGATATGCCCCTCCCACTGCTCGGCTAATATTATAACACCTGAATCCTGGATGACTTCCTGCCTATGCCTCAGATTCGCTTTGCAGCCCTGTGATAACCGCGATACATATACTAAGTATCTTACTATAAACGCCTATGTAATATCCGTTTACGTATCGTGGGCGATCTAACCGTGATCAGCCCAACGTTCCGTTTTCGGTGCGTGAACCAAGTTAGGCCTTTAGGATCTTAAACCACGACCCAAGACCTCCAAGCACAAGGCCTATGACCATTACAGACAGACGATCGAAAGTTATAAAGAAAAAAAATCTTTATTACTTTAGACTTTAAAAGAGTATATAACTTTATATATATTGAAAAAGAGATTAATAGAAAATAGTATTTAAAATTAAGTTTAGATTATTTAAATATATAATAATATATTTTAATTTTATAAATACCTTTATAATAATTTAATATATAATATAATAATATACTTAAATAATAC